GCCTGCACTTTGAGGCATGACCAGCCCCCCCCCCCCCCCGCCCCGGGAAGGGGCGTAGCTCCTCAGTCCGCCTGAGGTCAGGGTCAGGTGCGTCCGAGGAGAGTCTGGTTGAAGCCCCGTGGGGTGGGGAGGCCCACCCGCTGTGCACCCGGCCATCCCCGTTGCTGCCTCTCCTGCTCACACGGCGCTCCTAGTGCAGGGCTCACTGCAGCAGGTGACCGCACACGGTGCTGTAGGCCACAGTGACCACGCAGCGCCTGCTGCTGAGCCGGGCGGAGGACAAGTGGCTTCGGGCACAGGTGGACCCAGAGGTTCTAGCCACGGTTGTCTTGCCATTCTCCTTCCCTTTGCTCTTTGCTTTCTTCACTGTCCCTTCAGGCTTAGGGACACCCTGGCCCCATGGTGGCTTCTGGCCGCTCAACCACCCTGCTGGTCTCCCAGCACTTTCAGAGCCATGCAGAGAGCTCTCCGGACAGCCCCGTCTGGATGGTCCTCCGCCTCTGATGTGCCGCCATAGCTGGGGGCCGTGGCACTCTGCTGGGCAGAGCCCGGGCTGGGCCTCCCCCCTCCCCCACGGAAGACTCAGGGCCTTTCTCAGACAAAGGGGTGTGGATGCAGCACAAGCAGAGATAGGGGATTCCATTTCCAGGACGGACATGAAAGATTTCTTTGACTAAAGAACATTCTCTAGGGGCGCCTGGGTGGCCCAGTCGGTTGAGCATCCGACTTCGGCTCAGGTCATGATCCCACAGTTTGTGGGTTCGAGCCCCACGTCGGACTCTGTGCTGACAGCTACCTCAGAGCCTGGAGCCTGCTTCAGATTCTGTATCTTCCTCTCTCTCTGACCCTCCCTTGCTCACACTGTCTCTCTCTCTCTCTCTCAGAAATAAATTTAAAAAAAACATTAAAAAAATAAAAAATAAAGAACCTTCTCTAATGCTGGGGCCTAACTGTAGAAAAATGACTGTCCCCTTCTATACTGGACAGACTGTTGGCTTTGGACGGGGTCTCCAGAACTCACAGAGGCCGTTTGGAAGGCCCGATAGGAATGTGCATTGCTCATGATGAGACATCCCCAGGCCAATGAAATGTTCAGTTTCTTTGCCGTTTGTTGGATTTTATCAGCTCAGTGAGATTTACCTCGTGTGCACCGGAAGCCTTGATTCTTAACAAAATGAATTATTAATACATTTTCAAATTAGGCTCTTCAGGGTTGGGGCTGGAGTGGGGAGCGGAGTGGAAGCCCCGTGTTCTCTCCTCAGACAATAAAGGGACAGCCTCTTGCTCCTGTTCAGATACTGTGTAGGCACAGATATGTTTGTTTGCTTTTCTTTTTTAAGTTTTTTTTATTTTGAGAGAGAGAGAGAACAATCAGGGGAGAGGCAGAGAGAGAGAGAGAGAGAGAGAGAGAGAGAGAATCCCAAGCAGGCTCTAGGCTCTGAGCTGTCAGCACAGAGCCCGACGCGGGGCTCAAACTCATGAGATCATGACCTGAGCTGAAGGCAGATACTTCACCGACTCAGCTACCCAGGCGCCCCGTCTAATTACTGATGTTCTGATGGCATTTGTTCCTTGAGTTGTTAGTATGTTATGAAAATGAGCCCCCCTCCCTTTTTGCCATCTTGGTTTAAACCTTTAACAAAGTCTATTTTTCCTTCTAGTTTTGACAACCCCCACCGCCCCTACCTCCTGCCTTCCCCATATCTGGGCTGAGGCTCCTTAATAAATGGGGGGTATATGAACTGACCATGACCTTCCAGGCTTCACTGAAGAGTCCCGGGAGGTGACAGATTACCTTGCACTGGTTAGTTGAGGCCCAGCAGGTGGAAGTGGAAGAAAACTGGCAGACGAGGAGGGGAGGTTTGGAAAGTGGAGCACGTGCACCATTCAGAACAGCAGGAACAAAACAAAACTTGGGTTCTGGAAACACTGCAGGGCGTACATTTGAAGGTGGTGTGTGTTCAGGGCTGGTTTTGGGAAGGAGGGCCTGGCAGATGTTCGGTGGGAGAGGAGCCGTTCAGGTGTTGACTGTCCTGAGCCTGACGGGGAGACGTGTTAAAGTGGGAAGAGTGAGGTGAGGTCCAACGGACACGTGTGACAGAGCCACCCACGTCCCAGCCTCCAGCTGCGGCCTCGTGTGAGAGCTGGGGCTGCGGTCCTGCCGGCATTGGGAGTGTCGCTCTACAGTCTCCAATGAGGAGTGTCACCGAGCTGGCCTTGAAAATGGTTTCTTGGAGGTACCTTTGGTGTCCTTTCTCCTCGCAGGAATTGTGGATCCCCAGATCTCGTTCTCACCGATGCCCACCCTGGAGACTGCTTTCTCTATGGCTTTACGAAAATGGCAGGAAGCCATCCACATTATATAGGCTTTCTAGATTTTTCTGACCGTAAAAAATGTTTTCTTAGCGTTTCCCTTCTGAGAGCCCGCGTATTTCAGAGAGACTGCTGACAGCGGTCTTTGCAGGGTGAGCCTGTTACAGACACCCCGCCTAGGTCTGCAGGCCCCGGCTCTCAGGTCCTTTCCCAGCCTCTGTCAGGCAGGGCGCACACCCTCCCGCCCTCGATCAGGGGAATTGCTGCCTCTTCTTGGCCACCAGAGGCCTCGGAGGCTTGGCGGATGGCCTGGCTGGGCCTCTCCCTGGGGGGACGCTGGGTCCAAGGTGTCGGGACTAGAAGGAAGCAGAGCCTGGGGCACCGTTTCTTCCTCAGGAAATTTTGTTTTGTTTGTTGTTATGTTTCCAGCCATTTGAGGCTTTGTTACCGAGACCAACCATTCGCTCTCATGCTTAATCGAGGCTGCTTCCTGACCCCGAGGAAGGTGGCCTGGGCCCTCTTCACAGGATCGCAGCGCCTCCTGCCTCCCTGAGGGGTGTGGGAAGGTCGTGCCTGCTGCGCACCAGATGGAGCGACACATGGTAGTGGCTGGTGGTCCCTGGCACATGGCAGGGCCCCTGGGCGCTCAGTACGGCCGACCATTACTACTGATTTTCGTGAGTGCCTGTACTTGAAGCTGGGAGGTGCTTGTTAAAAATCAAAGGGTTCTTTTTTGCTTTTTGAGGCCGGTCCCATCTCTGGCAGTGGCGAATGTTGTGGTGAACGAAAAAGCCTGACTAAATCAAATGTGCAGGTCACCGTGACAGTTTTTATCCCTGGTCTTTGGCAGGCCTTAGAGGATTTGTGAGAGCCGGCCAAACCGGTGGAGAGGCCGACTACGCCTGCCTTCCGCTGAAACCCTGTTCTGTGGCTTCGGATGGAGACTGAGTTCTTAGCATATTTGAGGCTGGAGAGGTGGCCTCGTTAGCCATGGAGGATGTGTTGGTTGTCAACGGGACACAATTTTATGAGCTGTCTCTTTGTATGGTCACATGTGATAAGTGTCATTGTGTTTCCTGTGATTCTTACCCGCCTCCCCCGCCCCACTACATCTTTTGTTTACTTCTTTACTTTTTTGATGTGCCCATTGCTTGTCTGAGGCTTTAGATGAGGAAGGTGAGGGCCGTCCATCATTCCTCTGGCAGAGGCAGCGCAACAGCTTGGCTGGGGTGGGGGAGGGGGGAAGGGGGGAGGGGCCACTGCAGGAGGAGGGGGAGGTAGCGGGCCTGGCTGCCCCAGGCTGCTTTGGAAGAGGTGACCTTACTTAGCTGACCCCATGGGTTCCTCACCTCTGCCTTACCTGGAGGGTTTTCACACGAGCATTAGGTGAGATGGAGCCTGGCCCAAGGCTGCCTTGGCAGAGTCGGAATGAGCCCAGCATGTGGTAATGAGGGGGTGTTCATGAGGGGGTGTTCATGAGGGGGTGGGCACAGTGGGGGAGAGGCACTTGTTTTGTGTCCAGGCCCCAGCGGAGCTGCTCTGTCTTTGGCAGTCCCTGGAGTCTTCTCCACCTCAGTTTCCCCATTTTATAGATGAGGAGTAGTTTACTCACGACTTCTCCTACCCTCTCGGGTCTCCTCAGCTTTGAAGACATACTGGGAGTTGTTTCTGGCAGAAACTCCCTCCCCTGCCTGCCTTTGCAGCCCCCAGCAGCCGGGCGGGCGGGCTTCTGGCTTTGCGCCCTCAGACCCCGGTGTTCACCTCTGGCCCCCGCCAGACCGGCCTTCCTGAGGACAGGGGCTCCGTTTTCAATCTGTTGCACAAATTTATTCAACAGTATCTATCCCCATGTCAGGCATAGTGTCGGAGGCTGGGTGGTTATTGATGAAAAGACCAAACTCACTGACCAAAGCCCATTGTCAGAGACGTGGGCCTCACTCTAGCTCAGGAGATGTTTCTTCTTGGGGGCGGGGGGGGGGGTTGCGTGGGTGGACAGATGGGGCTGTGGCACCGGGCTTGGTGGACCCGTGTATGTGTAACCCTGGGCCTCAGTTCTGTGCCCAGTGACGTGAGGGGATGGGGCTGGAACCAGACTATTTCTAGGTTCGTATTAGCTCAGGCCAGATGCCAGAGACTCTGAAAGTCCACTGGACGGTCCTGCCTGTGCTCTAGAAGAGTAGCTGGAACCCGTTATAAGAAGTCAGGGGAAGAGCGGTGCTCACAGAAAATTCCCTGAGCATTTAGAAGCACAGTGGACTGAAGCCAAACATTGAATGATTTTAAAGGCATAGACAGCACCTGGCTGGCTCGGCAGTACGGCATGTGACTCTTCCTCTCAGGGTCGTGGGTTTGAGCCCCACGTTGGGTATAGAGATTACTTTAAAAAAAGGCATAGATAGACATCTTGAGGGGTAAGACACGTCTTTCTTGCTCCCACAGGTAATTTAAAATTTGTCAGGCCCAGCTTCCCCCGGTGTTATGACTGTTCTGTTCTCTTGCCACGCCGTGAAAATACAGCCCACAGAGGAGCTGCGCCAGTGGGAATTTGGAAATAGAACAACAGTCATAGTGTTTACTTCTCGTCTTCCCAAGGCTTAAACTTGAGTTTAGATTGTATTCGTTATTAACTTGTAGTATTGTTCTTGTCGTAATATTTTTTTTAAAACCGTGGCTCACTCTCTTCCTAGGGAGGCTGGAGTAAGTTCACTCACCCCCCCACCGCCCTGACCCCGACCGACCTCAGTACCTGCCGTTTACAGACAAGACTGAGCCAGAGGCCCCTACTTTGTCGGAGGAGCGCAGGCTACAGTGAGCGTGTTTCTCTCTTCCTCCAGGTCATGGCTTCTGGCCTCTCGGACCTGAGGCCCCAGCGGAGGACATGACCGTCAGGGACCCTGCTTCAGGTCTGTTGCGGAGACCGAACCGTCACAGGGCACGAACTTGCCCAGGACAGGAAAGTCTCTCTCTCTGAAGGAGCTTTACAGTTTGTTGCCAAGAAAGTAAAAATGGCGACTTCATCTATCAGACGGCAAATGAAAAACATCGTGAACAATTACTCGGAAGCGGAGATAAAAGTCCGGGAAGCCACCTCCAATGACCCGTGGGGCCCGTCCAGCTCCCTGATGACGGAGATCGCGGACCTGACCTACAACGTGGTGGCCTTCTCTGAGATCATGAGCATGGTGTGGAAGCGGCTCAACGACCACGGCAAGAACTGGCGGCACGTGTACAAGGCGCTGACGCTGCTGGACTACCTCATCAAGACGGGCTCCGAGCGCGTGGCCCAGCAGTGCCGCGAGAACATCTTCGCCATCCAGACCCTCAAGGACTTCCAGTACGTCGACCGCGATGGCAAGGACCAGGGCATCAACGTGCGCGAGAAGTCGAAGCAGCTGGTGGCCCTCCTCAAGGACGAGGAGCGGCTGAAGGCCGAGAGGGCCCAGGCTCTCAAAACCAAAGAGCGCATGGCCCAGGTGGCCACCGGCATGGGCAGCAACCAGATCACCTTCGGCCGCGGCTCCAGCCAGCCCAACCTCTCCACCAGCTACTCGGAGCAGGAGTACGGCAAGGCCGGCGGCTCGCCTGCCTCCTACCATGGCTGTGAGTAGTGGAAGCGCTCCCCTCCCCTTGCCGCAGCATGCGGGGTGCAGACACAGCAGTGCTGGGCCTCAGGTAGGGTGGGCGCCCCGGGCTGAGCGAGAGCTCGTACGTGTCCGCCCTTCTCGGCTCCCGGTGGTCTGCTCCGGGCCACAGTGACACGGGCTCTTGGTCCCTTGGTTGCTCTGGCTCAGGGGTCCCATGACCCTCTGCTGCTCCGTGGTGTGAGTCAGTGCCTCTGGGGGGCAAGGTCTGACCGCTTCCCCTGCAGGGAGGGGCTGGAGCTAAGCCCCTGGCCTGCCCCCCAGACAGCAGGGAGTGGGCTGCGTTTGGTAGCTAGGAGAAAACAGCGCTCTTGCTTGATGACCTTGTGTCTTTAATCTCCTGTGAAACGTGTTCCTGACGACTGGGCTGCTCGTCTCCCGACCAGCTGGGTGTGATTCTACCTCAGCGTCACGGGGGTTGATGGGGTATCTCTGTCCCCGTGAAAGGGGGGAGGCAGAAGCCTCTGCGGGCATTAGTGAGAGCGGCTCCTGGTGATTGGCTTGCACGGCTTGCACGGCTGGTTCTGCGCTGGGTGGGGCTGCTCTGTTTTCTGTTTTGCAAGTTGGAGAACGCTGGGCCTTCGCCCAACCCTCAGACGAGACTTGAGGGAACAGAGCGGAGTTCAGGGCCCAACAGAACCTGGTCTCTGTGAGCCACGTTGGCGTCCTGGGCGTTCACTCAAAGCATCCCCGGGAGCAGACGCCCTGCTGCTTTCCCGATGCCCTGTCAAGACAGGTAGCCTTGGTGGCCTGTGGGGGACGCGGAGCTGGCATCCTACAGCTGTAAAAACAAAAGCGCTCGCCCCCACACAGCCTTTCTTTTTGGAATCAGTAACACTGCATCAGCATAACACAAACCTCTTTTTTTATAATTTTTTAAAAATGTTTGTTTATTTTTGAGAGAGAGACAGAGACAGAACACCAGTAGAGGAGTGGCAGAGAGAGAGAGAAGGAGACACAGAATCCAAAGCAGGCTCTGGGCTCCGAACTGTCAGCACAGAGCCCGGCGTGGGGCTCAAACCCATGAACCAGGAGATCATGACCTGGGCTGAAGTCAGATGCTTAGCCGACTGAGCCACCCGGGTGCCCCCACCACCCCGCCTTTTTTTATTTTTATTTTTTTAAATATTTTTATTTATTTCTAGGAGACAGAGAGAGAGAGAGACAGCATGAACAGGGGAGGGTCAGAGAGAGAGGGAGATACAGACTCTGAAACAGGCTCCAGGCTCCGAGCTGGCAGTCAGCACAGAGCCCGACGCGGGGCTCGAACCCACGAACCGCGAGATCATAACCTAAGCGAAAGTCGGACGCTTAACCGACTAAGCCACCCAGGCGCCCCCACCCCGCCTTTTTTTCAAGGAAATTGTAGCCTGACAGACGCCTGTCACTCCTCATGTGGCCAGCAGGTTGGCCGGCTGATCACCTACTAATGCGCTACTGCTCACAGAGGTCTGTGTGATGTCATCATGCCCTGGCAGCATTCTGAGGAATGTGTCAAATGGGAGGTTTGCGCACTAAGCCAGGCTTGCTGACTTCCCCAGGAATTCTCAGTTATCACCGAGCTCGGAGAGCTCAGCACTCCTGCCCCCGTTTCCAGTTGCTGTCTCCCTCTCACTTGGAGCTGCTCTTGAAGTAAAGGTTGTGACCCTCACGAGACCTTCTCCAGAGTCCCCATCTGGGCCGTGTTGCCCGACGTAGTGGAGATTGCCCTTTAAGGAGCGAACTTGGTTGTCACCGTCCGGGGGCCGGCCCCCCCCCCCCGCAGCTGCCCGCTGAGGGCTGAGCTGGTGGCTTCCTGTCTGGGGAGCGGACGCGCCTGTGCTCTGCAGCCGCGGGGAGCGGCTCCTCTCGCCACAGGCCTCTTGCGGTCGTTTTTGTCCCGGAGCCAGAGGCTCCCAGGCGAGAGCTAGAATAGCGTCCCACTCATCAGAGGACCGTGGGACGTTCGGGTGCGGGCCCCGGGGGGCTCGGATCGGGCCGGTGGCGGGGCCTGCCGACCTTCTGGCGGGCGCCGCCACGGCCCCAGCTCTCACCGCTTCCGGTTCCCTCAGCCCTTGAGCTCGAGCTGCATGTTCAGGGTCAGAGTGTGGCGGGCAGGCCCCTCGCCGCCTCTGAGCGCGTCGGGCTGCGGCCTCGGCCCCCGGCGGCTCCCACTCGCTCTAACGGCGTGTCTCTCTCTGTGTGTGTGTGTGTGTGTGTCCCTGCCCCACAGCGCCCGAGGCCTCGCTGTGCCCCCAGCACCGCACAGGGGCCCCGCTGGGTCAGAGCGACGAGCTGCAGCCGCTGAGCCAGCGCCACCCCTTCCTGCCGCACCTGGGGCTGGCCTCCCGCCCAAATGGCGACTGGGCCCAGCCCTGCCTCACTTGTGACCGCGCAGCCCGAGGTGGGACGGCGGTTTGCTTCTCTCCTTCCCGGAAACGCTGGGCGGCTTGCTGGGGTGTGCTCGCGTGTCAGTACAGCCAACTCTCTGCCTGTCCCCTCCCGGGCCTCCCGGCTCCCCTCCTGCGGACCCGGGGCCCCTTTTCCCTCTCCCTGAGAGCCCCCCCCGACCCCATCACACATCACTTGCCAGAAGTCCTGTTGCGATTTGGGTCAGGCACGGGGTGACTGTCCGTGCTTTCCCGGGGTCCCCACACCCTGAAAGATTGGAGGGGGCTCCGCTGTCAGCCAGACCCAGGTGTGGCGGGGGCCGGACACCGCTTGGCCTGTTGAGCCAGGAAGGTGTGGTTTCGGTCTGGCCGTGGCAGGCAGACCCGAGGGCCTCGGGGGACTCGGTGGACGGTCGGTGGAAGCCATCAGCCTTGATTCAGCGATATGTACCTTGATGAGGACAAAATGGGATTGTTTTTGCTTCTCAATTAACTGCCGCTCTTCCAGAAATCCCCGTTACCGTGGTAAACAGAGAGTTAGCTGTACTGTCCATTCTAGGTCACTGTGTTTGAAGACACCTAATTCAGTGGGTAACTACAGTGGGGCTTCTCTTTTGGCCAGTTACTAATGTGTCAGGTTAAACTGAATACAGATCTTTCCTGTCTCCTGCAAGGAAACGTTCTCAGTCTAATCCACCTCCAGTCCCGAGTGGGGCCCCGTCCTGGAGAAGACAGCTGTCTGCTCCCTCCTGTTCTTACTAGAAGGGGCACCAACGAAGAGCCCTTGTGTGACCCCCCTGATAAGGTGGCCCCCCTTCATTCGGCCCTGGAAACAGCTACTGTTCGTTCACACCTCGTTACTACTACAGCTTGTTTGACTCCGCGTTTGCGTGAGCGCTAGGTTCAGCTCCGGGTGTTTTCCTCGGCGCTCCTGTCCTCCCCTCGCAGCGCCCGCGGGAGTTTGTGAGGAGGACGGGCAGGCTCTGTCCGGGGCACAGAAGGTCAGAGGCCCTTGGGCTACGCACTGTTTCTTCCCGCAGGTTCCCAGCGTCCCCCCAGGACTCCGGGTCCCCCTTTGTTTTCCCCGATCCCATTCAGTGATGGGAAGGTCTGGAGTCTGGCTGCAGTTCTCTGGGGGCAGGCGGGCTCTGCCGGGACACGTGCCAGTTCAGTCCCTGTGTGCCTGCGCACACACCTGGCAGGTAGCTCAGGTACATGGCCCGTGCGGATTTCTCTTCTGCAGCTCGGGAAGAAATGGAGGGTCAAAATGAGGAGGTCTTATGGGCCGTTTCTGATGTCCCAGCAGAGTTTGGGCAAACAAGTGTTACACGGTGCCACCCTTTAACTGGTTAGTGTGTGCCCCTCTCTTCGTCACACCCTGCCCATCCTGGAGGCTGCTGGGGGGCAGGACCCTGGCCCACCAGGACTTTCCATTCGCTCTTAGCACCTGACAAAGGTAAGCGCTTAATATACGCACATCGGTGGGTTTGCTTTGAACTTACCGGCCTGGAATCCACCAGTGGAGGGCTCAGACTGGCACCGGCTGCTCCGGAAGCGGGCTCGGGCCAGGCCTGGTGGGTGTGGGGGAGGGGAGGCAGCCGGCCGAGAAAGCCCCTTCATGGGAGAGCAGGCACCGCGGCAGGCTTCTCACTCCTGGGTGGTGGTTCTGACCCAGGTAATCGTGATGGTGTTTGAGGATCCTCGCTGTGCCTCCTTCCTGCCCTGCCCCCCACGTCCATCTGCGGGTCTGACCTGGGGAACCTCTCAAATTGGGTCCTTCGTCTCTAGTTCCGTGACCTCAATTCAGTGTCTGCTCTCTCGTTGGTTTCCTTGCTGTTAGTATCCGCCTCCGCCCACCTTCTAGCTTGATAAAGGATACCCTGACCGAGGGTCTTGGGGGACATCCTCTAGATCCCAGGGTCCAGGCCAGAGCCTTTGACGCGGCAGACAGCTCCCCTGGGGTCCTCGCCGCCCTCTGGCAGCCTAGGCGTGTGGGTGTCTGCCTGGAGGCAGTGTGCCCAGGTCCTCGCTGCAAAGCCTGTCCCAGCTGCCCTCCCTCGTTCCCTCAGCAAGTGAGTACTGGGTTCTCTGTGCCCCTGGCCAGGGGAAGAGACACAATAAAGGTAAGACACCACACAGAGTATTATTTGATGAATGTGCTGGAAAACGGCAGACAAACACCAAACAACCCAGCTGAGCCTGAGGAGTGGGGAGGGTATTATGCAACGTTAAGGAGGGTGTCAGGATAAGTCTGATTGAGAATGCGATGTTGGAGCAAGGATCGAAGGGGAATGAGGAGGGCGCTGTGTGAAGGTTTGAAGGAGCTGTAGAGGCAGAGGGCGGAGCAGAGCAGCAGTGCAAATGGCCTGGGGTGGAGGGTGCTGGGGGGGTTGGGGAGGGGTGTGTTTGCAGACCAGGAAGACGGCCATTGGCCAGCACCAGCGGGTCTAGAGCTGAGTGAGTCAGGGTGGCGGGTGAGGTCAGGGCAGGAGGATGCTGGCGAAGGTGGAGGGCCCTTCTCAAACTGCCTCTGGCCCGGAGCGGTTCTTTGCAGTCTGGATCCATCTCAGACCGATACTTTTGTATCAGTGTGTGGAGGCTGTAGCAATCGCAGATGGCCCTACAGGTTTCGAACCACTTCATCCCACTCTACTTTCTCCTCTGGCTGCGTATTGGGTCAGGAAGCCATCACTCTTATCCAGGTGGGGGATGATGGGCTGTGGAGGCTGGGGGTTTTTTACAGGAGAGCCAGCAGGCTTGCTGGAGGACTGCATGGGGGCGGTGGCCGCGGGTGGGGGTGCAGAGAGAGGAGTTGCCGACTGCCGGCTGAGCAAGGGGTGCAGCTGCTGTCGTCCCGTCGTCCAGCTGACGCGAGGGTGGCCATGAGCGAAGCAGGTTCAAGCAGAAGTGGGGTTGCGTTCTGGCCGTGGCAAAGCATCTACTAGACATGCGGGGGGGGTATGGAGAAGGCCCGAGAAGACGAGGGCTTGGGGGAGAATTCCAGGCGGGCAATGCTTTCAGCTCCTTGACCCCACCTGGCGTTCATGTTTCCTTCACATTTGTGTCATCCCAGCTGCCTTCCCCGCCCAAGGCTGGGCCTTGGGCTGGCGTGTGTTGGCCGCGCGTGTGATTTTGGCATGTAGTTGTTGCTCAGGACTGCCGTGTGCAGGGGAGGCTGTGGGGCCCAGGGGAGCCTTTCCAGGCTGAGAGGTTGGGGTTTGCCAAGCGAGCACAGAGACAGAGCAGCTGACCTGGCAGAGCGGGGTGTGAGTCCCCTGCCTGTTACCCCCATCCAGCTTCCTATGTGCTGCAGAGCTGGTCAGACGTTCTGCAGGCTGTGGAGACACTGCAGGCGTTCTTGGGGTGGTGGGAAGCCACATCAAATGTGGCCCGGGGGGCTGGGAGAATCCTCCCTGTGAGTCTGCGTGGAGATCTGAATGTAAGACTGCCTCCGCCCTCCAACGTGCACGCTCCAGAGTCAGGGCCGGACCTGCCACCCCCAACATCTGCCCTGTGGGTGGAGGCTGGTGAGGGAGGAAGGAACGCCCAGCTCAGCCTGGCAGCCCGGCAGCCCCCAGAGCCGGAGCCACACTTGGCTTGCTGTGCCGTGAGCGTGTCCTGGGTTTGGTGCCTTGCATTTCTGGGTGCCAGGCCAACCGCCAGCATTCCCGTTCTTTTTTTTTTTCTTTAATTTTAAAGTTAATTTATTTTGAAAGAGAGAGCACTGCACGTGAGCTGGGGAGGGGCAGAGAGAGAGGAAGAGAGAATCCCAAGCAGGCTCCCAAAGCAGAGCTTGAACTCAGGAACCGTGAGATCATGACCTGAGCTGAAATCAACAGTCGAACACTCACCCAGCCGAGCCACCCAGGCCCACCCAGCATCCCAGTTCTTAGGAAAAGAAGAAGGCAGGAAGGTAGACAGAGACTGGAAGCGCTTGTTGCCCTCAGTTTCCCACGAATGAGTCGGGGGCAACCCGAAGGCCCAAAGCAAAGAGGGCAGCGCTGTGCTTCATATGCGGGGGCCGCCGCCGCCTGCCGCCGGGTCTCCAGCTGCCCTGATGCACCCACCATGTTGGGGGCACCCTCGGCACCTGGACAGATGGAGCAGCTACCCGCCGTGTGGCTCAGCTCTGCTCCTGGGGCAGCTCCGGGGCTTCCCTCAGGCCAGCCCTGTTTCTGAACTGTGAGTTCCCAACGCAGGGCTGCCCCCCGCCCCCCAACACCCCGTGGTTGGCCATTCGCCCAAGTGATTACCAGAGATTATGAGCATTTCATTTATTTGCCCTGCTTCACTCTAGAAAGGATTGGAGTTGGCTTACAAAACACATGCGACACCAGAGGATTAAATAGATACAAGAGGAAATTGGGGCAAAAGGAAAATAATGGTAAGAGCAGAAGATGAGGCCAGAGTCGCATATAAGTGCTGGAGACGGATCCAAATTTTGCTTTGAACTTCTCGGCCGCCAGCACCTAGGACGACGATTTCCCTTTAGTGCCCTTTAGAGTCTAGGATCCAGACGAGGTCCAGAAAGGCCAGGTGCTCACTGTGCAGGGGGAGGAGCCGGCCTAAAAGCAGCCCCTGCACACGCTTTCCCGGGGTGGTGGGGGCGCTTGATCCAGACTGTATCCTCACAGAGACCACCCTGGCCTGTCCTGAGCCCCCACCCCCACCCCCACCCCCCGCCGGCCCATGGTCTCCCGGGGACTGGAGGGGATGGCGCGCTTAGCTCCCTCCCTCCACGGTGCTCAGGCATTTTTAAGCCCATTAGGGAGAATCTGAAAGCATATGTGTTTGGGAGTTGCCCAGGGTCACAGGCCTTCCAGAACTCTCCAGGGAAGCTGCTTCTCCACAGCAGGGAGCCTCGGGGGTGAACCAGAGTCCCTGCCACCCCACCCCTGCCAGCCAGACTGCAGGAGCCAAGCAGGGGCCATAGTCACAGGCACGCACACAAGAGGGCACTTGAACAAGGATTGGGCAGCTGAGAAAGGGAGTCCTCTGGAAGTCTGTATTTGGA